TTTTTGATACATTGCTTAATCTTAAAAACCATCGACTTCCATCAGCTTTACAATATCTATCTCCAAATTGATCACTCAGAGATAGACATAGTTGACATTCTTCAAAAGTCATCGACTCATCGTCTTCTTTATATGGAAATTATGTTTTATTGTTACTACATGCAATAAACCGAAAGCTTCACTTTGTAGATCTTCAAGACAGGACATTTGGCAAAGATTTTTTAATGTAAGTATTAATTATATTCCATCTTTCTCTCTCTCTCTTTTTTTTTTTTTTTGTAAAAAAATGTAAAAAAAAAACATCATTTGTCTATGACAGGGGCCTTCATTATGAGGCTTATCATGTCAAATTTAAAACTTAAAGTTTTCACATTTTCGGAAGCTCAATATGATTAGGAAATTCATCTAGATTCACACACTCGATCTTGATTGGGAAATTCTATTGCCTACAATTGCATCCCATCCAAAACAGAAAACTTTTATTAATTTATTATTTAATTTAATAGAACATTTACTAAAATAATATTTAATTTCAAAATATAAAATTATTTAAAAATTAGGTATATATTAGTGTTTCTCATTCATTTTAATGATAACTGGACTTCTTGCAGTTGGAAAATCTGAAACTGTTCAACCAATTGGTTCCATCTTGGAGTCGCAGCATACGGATGAAAACAAACAGAATATAATCCTGCTTCGATCTCTATATTCCTGAATTATTTTTTCCTTCTTAATGTAGTATTGTTGCACGTGTGGAGTTACAATTGGAATGGGATGAAGTTGAGGCTTTTATCAAAGAAGCAGACGGTTCACTATTCAGTTGATATGAACATTTTCATTGGTACAATCACATGAAATATGCAATGGCAAATTAATATTTACTCTTTCACATTGTTTACTGATTCCAAAAACTGATTATTTGCTAATTGTTTTTTATTGATTTTCTTTCATGGATGAATGAAACAGAAAACAACTTCTGAAACATTGGCAACTAAAGTTACGGGACCCTAGAATTTAACAAATTGATGAGATATATGCTTACTATGGAACAAAGGTAAATACGGATTAATGTTTTACATAATTACATTGATTGCCTAATTTATTGATGTTTATGTTAATTGTTTATCTTATACATTGCAACACATTCAACTAAGATAAGCGGGTCCTAAGACTTGATGTCAGTTGAAGTTGTTTATGTTTCTCTCTCCGAATCATTTACGCTTTAAAAAATCAATAAAAAAAAATTCATATTTTTTATAAATTACATCATTTTCGCAAAATATGCACCGAAAAAGCCATTTTGTGAAAAAAAAATTTATTCGAGAGATAGATGGCGTTATGTTAAGGTTTTAAGTTTGCAAAAGTTGTTACCTTAATGGCTGAACCATTTATTGTGGAAAATAGCTTTTTAGATTCCGATGGAATTGGAATTTCAGATTCCATTCCATTGTGTGTTTTGGAATTCAATTCTATAAGAATTTGTCGACTTCGTGTTTGATAAGTTGAATATTCTTAAAGGAGGGCGTTTATGAACCGGTGTTGAACTTCTCATAAAAAGCCTAACCTCCATGATCAATTTCATTGTAGTTAAGGTTATATGTGATTACAAGAGTTGGAAATGAAAAGGAAATGGATTTGTGCATTTTTTTGTTTTTTTTTTTAAATTATGTGCATCATGATGTTGTTCAATGAATCTTAGGGTATTTAGAGTTTACATATAGCTGTTGAAAATAGAGTTTACTTTAATTTTCAGGAACTATTTGGGTTTACTGCTGCATTTACAACCGACACAAAGTGTTATTCATTTCGTTGGAGAAGATGGATCATTAATGCTTTTAGATCATTTAAAACCTCATAAGGATGGAAACAACTCAAATCTGTCTTTTTTGTCCATTTTTTACACAAACACCCGAACATATGTTGGGGGTTGATTTTGAAATTAATAACCATGCCCTCAAAATTTCCAAAGTTGACCTTCACTACAAAGCACTTATGCTTAAAAATTCTAATTATATACTTTTAATTCTCATCTTTTATAGTTAGTAAATCAGATAGATCATTCCATGAATTCAGTTTATACTTTATATTGAGGAAAACTTGGTGTTCATGTTGCAGAAACACAACATTTAATAAATGGTCTTCACTGGGCAGTCATTGACTAAAACTCTGGTCGTAATCGAACCCCGCGGAGCGGGGTACCCCAGCTAGTTATATTTTACTTAGACATAGAGTTGCATACTTTAGTGTTATATATATAATGAAGTGGGACGGGTTGTATATGGAGCGAATCGACAATGATCCATACCCAACCCATTTAATAAAAGGGTATGAGTTTGTAAACGGGTAAACGAATCGAAAATTAAAATCCAAACCCGTAAAATTGTTAAGGGTTTGGAGCGAATCGCGGTCAAAACCCCCTCCATTGACAGGTCTTCATGTAATGGTTTAGAGAGTTTTTTTTTTTTTTATTAAAAATAGAGATAGAGATTGCATCTATCATTATGACATGAAAATTAAAAACACTATCTCAACCAAAAATAGAAAGTAAGTAAAAATCTTATTGACTCATTCAACCGGCAATTAATCGAAACATAGAATAAATCCTATCCATCCAAATTAGGTTGAGAAATTCGTCTTATCTCAAATACCCGTCCCCCATGATCCACGATCTCCATCTTCCCCAAAAAGTCGTTGTCCTCAATATCTTCAACATTCGATTTTCAATTTTAACTGCATCTATCTATGTTTGCTTTTATAACTCGCATTTCATTCTTTATAATCATTTACCATTTATTTTCATTATGCATCTCGAAATCAACTCAGTCGTGATGCAAGATCCGTAAAGATCGAACCCGTTCTGAGGCCTGATTATGGGTTTAATTTTGTACCTGATAACTCTATTTCATCTCCGATAATCAGGCGGAAGGCTATCACAGTCAAGAAGTTATTTGAGAATTAGTACAATAGTTATCTACAAGGATTTCAACATTATAAAGAAAGGTATTCCTAATTTCTACTAGAAGTGTTATTTATGATCATGAATAATGGTTTTTACTGGTTTTTAGAACACGAGTTTTATAGAGAAAACAGGCAGAGCAAAAGTATCCAGCAAGGAAGTGGAGCAGATGCTACAATATTTTGAGAAGAAAGAGACAAATGCATGAGACTGCAAAGGCATACAATAGTAATCGGGGATTTCAAACTTTCTACACTAATCGGTCTTGGTGCTTTTTGGAGAGGTTTGTACCCTTATATTTCAAACAACACCATATGAAATTAAGATTATTCATCCTTATGTAGACAAGTTGTTGGATATGCATGTTAGGTTATGTCGTGTGAAAAATAACCAGAGATGCATAGTCGTCTACTGACATACTGACCAGATTGTATTCAATTCTAAAAGTTCTCCATATTTTGTTTCGGAAAAATGTTGTATGTAATGTTGTGAACTTGTATTTGATTTGCAAATGGCTTAAATGTATGCCATTGACATAATTTTTCTTTGTGGCTAGGTCAAGCATGTTCTAGCCAAAGAGGATTTTGGTTATAGTTATATATACTTCAAGTGTAGGCACATACGTTTTGTCTTGTCAACTCTACCCCCTATTGGTAACAGTTTCACTTTTTGAAATGAGAGGTGAAAACACTATGTATTGCCTTAATTATACACGCTTTCTTTCTTATTGCTTATCAAAACCAAACAAATACAAACCTGGCCATTAGATATCTCTTCCAGGCACATCCTTGGAATAGTTTTTAAATTTTCTTTTCTTTTGAACCATATTGATTTATTTACACACTTTCTTAGTTATTGAATTGAACGGGGGAGGAATTGACGCATAATGGTACTAAGCTAAGGATTAATATTAAACTTTTTCTTGAACAAATGGTGAATTGGTTTTAAAAGACTTATTGATTCCCTATCCTTTTCTTATTGTAGATCTAACTGATGGGATGCATGTATGTAAACATGCTGGATGATTTTCAATTATGTAATGATAGAGATCTACAAGAAGATTTAAGAGGATGAGGTTTGGAGATTTGAGAAGATGAGACAACATGCCACCAAAGTTGCTGATAGCATATGATTACAAAGTGTATTATGATTTCCCTATTTTCAATGTACTTGGCCCCCATAAAATTGAGATGATATGTGAACAACTTTATTTGTAGTTTGAAATTTTATGTTATAACATTTTCAATTAGAAATGGTATTTCCCTACATATGTTCCTATTTTCATTGATAATTTTGTACGTGTTTGTACATATATGAACATTATTACTTCTATATATCATTGTTATTGCCCACACATAAGTATGTTTTGCGAACTCATCTACCAATTTCACCTACACATAAAAATTACTTCTATCCACACATATTTTGAAATGTGTCACCAAAACTATATAGGGACATGGTATGTAACATGACATGTCTTCCATATTAGTCCATGTCACTCTCCACGCCAGCCGCCCTATCATCATCAACCAACACAAATATTAATACTTCTGCCCACACATATATGCTAGTTTTAGCCACATACATGTGTAGGTACAAATTGCTCTATATCTAAACATAACCGATGTGCAGGTAATGACTATATCTACATACATGATCCAACACATAGTGACACTTAATTTATATGTTGGTAAAACCAACTACCAACACATAAGAGGTTTCTACCCACACATAATATGTGTGAATAAAAACCCAATATGGAAGACCTTATGAAGAGAATGTGCAAGCAAAGAACAAAGTTTTCTTTTAGTTAGGTACTCTTTACATACATGCAATTATGTTCAAAGTCAAGTCTAACATTAAATGAAAGTATCGTGTCCTTTTATGACAAATATGGAGCTTAAAACGCAAGGCCACAAGCAATCCCATTTCTTTCGTACACCTTACGGTTTTGAGAGAGAAAGTCAAAGGATCTTTATGTGATCTTCACTCAAGTTCTAACTAGCTTGTTGTAATGTAACTAAATGGTTACTCTAAATACCCAAAATGCTGTACAAAATATTAACAATCATACCATATTATATTTATAGTTTATGTTCTCTTTATTATTTTTTCTTAGAAACAATAATTCTCAATATATTGGTAAAGTATTATTTTCATAACATATTGTTTTTCTAATTGAATACAAGTGTTGATATTTATTAATAATCAAAATTACTATAATAAATAATCAATTACTAGTAGTTTCCTATAAGGTGTGACCTTATATGATCATATGCCATTAACAAATATAATTTTATAATGACTTTTGGGCAGAAATATCATTCAAACCGTACCGTCCACCCTAAGGGAATATAAAGAAAGAGAATATCACAAGAGTTGAGTAGTAAAGTGATTACTTTCACATTACCTAGAAACAATAATTTTCAATATGCTGGTATAATATTATTTTCATAAAATATTGTTTTTTTAATTAAACACAAATGTTGATATTTATTAATAATTAAAATTACTCTAATAAACAATCAATTAGAAGTAGCTTGCTATAAGGTGTAGCCATGTATGATCATATTTCATTAACAAATATCATTCTATAATGATTCTTGAATAGAAAGATCATTCAAATCATACTCTCCACCCTAAGGGAATATAAAGAAAGAGAAAATCACAAGAGATGAGTAGTAAAGTGATTTCTTTCACATTACATAATCCTAGTAGTAGAATTAGTAGGAAACTATGATAAGGGATGGCAAAAGATAGATGGAAATGATGTCATTTGGTAAAGTTGGGTTCACAACATTAAATTTTGATATAAGATGGTCAAATGTTGTCCTAGGTAGGGGTTAGCATAAAAAAACTAAATTGTAACCAAATTAATCGATATCACTGATCCATTATAATTGAATTATTACAGAAAATGGTGGTGCGATTTTTTATTTTCGTTAATTGATTGCAATAATTCTCAATATGTTGGTAAAATATTATTTTATCAATAATTCTCAATAAGTTTGAATCGATATCTCTTTATTATTTTTTCCTAAAAACAATAATTCTCAATATGTTTGAATCGACATCTCTTTATTATTTTTTTCTAGAAACAATAATTCTCAATATGTTCGTAAAATCTTATTTTCATAAAATATTGGTTTTCTAATTAAATACAAGTGTTGATATTTATTAATAATCAAAAGTACTCTAATAAATAATCAATTACTAGTAGCTTGCTATAAGGTGTGATCTTGTATGATCATATGTGACCCTATAACCGAATTAATCGATATCAATGATCCATTATAATTGAACTATTACGAAAAATTATGGTGTGATTTTTTATTTTCATTAATTAATTGCAACATGAATAATGGTGAAATTATCGTTTTATTATAAACTCACTCAATACATAACCAAACCGAACCATTATATAATGAATATATAAAAAAATAAAAATATTATGTATATATAAGAGGTAATTATTAATTAAGTAAGGAATTAAAATAGAAGAGTATATGAATTGCTTAAAATGTAAAAATTACCATTATACTATTTAAAAAGTAGTAAGGTACTTTCAAGTTTTTTGCTTTTTATGGGGACATACTTTCTAGTTTTCATTATTTATAGCAATACACTTTTCTATTTTTCATTTTTAATAGCAACGAAGTTTTTAAGCCGCGCGTTGCGGCGAAAGTTTAAATAATAATTTTATGATATAATATTTTTTAATGTATTAAGACATTACACTTTGAAAATTTAATATATTTATAAATGGCATTTCTTTTTCCTATTCATCATTTAACTTTGAAACTGTAAAAATGTCATAAGGAAATTTGCTTTGCATGTGTTTTAATAGATTATAAAAACATTCATCTTATGATGACCAAAATTAACATAAATTATGATCACTTGGAAATCAATAAATTGTTTTTGTCCATCGATTCATCAACAAAACTTGAAACATGAAAGCCTTGTCAATATTCAATATAACAACTAACTTTAAACAAAAGAACCAACTGGCTTCAAATCCATAAATTGTCTGTGTTAGGGCCAGAATCCTCAAAGCATTCAACATCCTCATACCTCATCAGATATTCAGGATCCTCAACTATCTCAGGATCCCGACTATTACCGTTATTATTATTTACTAACATTTATAATGGTTATATTTCATTCTTAATTAACACACGTGCAGAAATAGTCAACAGAAGACTTATTCTCAACAGAGAGTCGTCTCAACTATGCTAAAGACCCATAATACCAAGTCAAACAACGTTCACAAAGCCGGTCATAGAGGATCCCGGAATATCGGACATCTTGTTAGCTAGTTTAGACTATAAATTGACACATGTATCTCGCACACGACACACTCTACTTACTCTTAGCTTACTCTACGAACTTTTTCACTTGTTCTTACCGAAATACTCTTTGTAATCATCATTTTATATTAATAAAATCATCAAGGCAAGTGATCATTATCACCTCCCAAGGTTTTGTGCCGAAGATCCTAGCAAGGATCAAGGGCTTTCCTTGTAAACAATTGTGTCATTCTATTTACCTTTCACTATTGCACAATTCGAACATCACAACCTCTCATTCAATTTGGTTGATTTACATTTGTGTAATTTTTGACCAAAATAATTTGGCGCCCACCGTGGGGCCGTGGTGTTCAAAATCCTTGAAAGATCATGTATACACAACCGATCATTTATTCATCCTCCGCTCCTTCCATTCCAACCAAAAACCTACCACTTCCTCCGAGTGGACCCCCTGGTCAGAGGAAAGCGCCTGATACTTCCAAGAGAAACACCCCCCGGTCACTAACCAAGGAAGTTTGGGATCTTCAGGACTCCAGGATCCGACTGCTCCGATCACTACTGATGAGCTCTTCGCTATGATGAGGAAAATGACACAACAAATGACTCATCAGCAATACGAAAATAGAACACTACTTAGAGAAGTGGAGAGGATGAATGAGGATTTTTAGATATCCCAGAAAATAATGCCCACAGTTGTACAATCAAGGATCCTGAACTTCGACAATGCAGGATCCTCAGGATATCAACAGGGGAACACAGCTCCTGCAACTGCTGCATCACCCTGGGGGACGACTATGAACAATTGGGCATCTCTGATCAATGATCTCGATGAGCCTTTCAATACTCCTAGAAACCTTGATTCTAGTAACTTCTTAAACAACAATACTATCAATACTAACTCTATGAATGTTGATGCAGGAATAAGTCCAAACATGTCTAGGGAACTTTAACAGTTGAGACAGATGATCTCAAGCATACCCGGGGTAGTTCAACCCATACCAGAAGCATCTCCAACAATTCATAGGATCTCGAGATTTGCTCCTACGATAGCCGATACCGAAGTTCCTAAGCGCTTTTATGCTCCTAGCATGAAGCCTTACGATGGAACTACGGATCTTGAAGAGCACGTAGCACAATACTGAGAAAGGATGGAGATCATTCCCATCCCAGTGCACTTGAAGGAAGCTTACCTATGCAAAGGCTTTGGTTCAACCCTCATGGGATCAACTCTTAAATGGCTGCTAAACATTCCTCCTTATTCTATTACTTCATTTGCACATTTAGTCAATATTCTCAATAACCAGTTTTCTTGTAGCAGAACCTTCGAGAAGATCACTAGTGATCTCTATAGGGTGGTTCAGGATCCTAAGGAATGACTTAAGGATTTTGTTAACAGGTTTGGCAGGGAAGCTCTGAGCATCCCCAACATTGACATGGCGACTGCTGTGGAGGCCTTCAAGATGGATTTAAGGAAGGATTCACCCTTCTATGAAGATCTCGTGATGACTCCATGCAAGAGATTGGAAGAAGTTAGGTGCTGAAAATTGAGGTTCATAAGGCTTGAAGAGGATAAAGAATTCCAGAAGAGGAGCAACCCTTCAAGTCAATACGAGAATCCCAATAGGAAGGCCAAATCGATGGCTCCAAGATCCTACAAATCGAAGCCCTATTACAAACCAGATCATCACAGGGTTAATGCCCTCGAAGATGAAGGAGAGGAAGAGGAACCTCCTAAGGTGGCCAAAGAAGGATAACAAGTCCACCAATTGGAAAGACAAGTCCAAATGGTGTGCTTACCACGAAGATTTCGGTCACATGAAGGAGGATTGCATAGCCCTAAGAAAGGAGATCGGCTACCTCCTTAGCAAAGGGAATATTAAAGAGATCCTCGGAAGAAAGAAAGCAAAGTCCAAGGAGAACAACCATGAT